CAGGAAAAAATGGCAGTGAAGAAACAGAGTTAAACCATACCATAGATCAAACAGACTTGACAGATTTCTATAGAACTTTCTATCCAACAACTACAGAATACATATTCTTCACTGCAGCTCATGGATTATTCTGTGAAATAGATTATGTTTTATGCCACCAAGCAAATCTTAACAAACACACAAAAAAAATGAAATAGCTTCTTACATTTTATCAGATCACAATGAAATGAAACTAGAAGTCAACAAGAAAAACTACAGAAAATATACAAATAGATGGAGATTGAACAATTCACTTTGAAATGACCAAGTCAGAGAGGAAATTAAAACTTCCTAGAATCAAATGAAAATGGAAACATACTAGAATTCTGGTATATAAAAAAGGCAGTTCTAAGAGACAGATTTATAGCTACATTCAAAACTCAGAGTAATTTCAAATAAATAAACTAATAATGCATCTCATTGTCTTAGAAAAACAAGAATAAACCAAGACCATACCTAATAGATGGAAAGAAATAATAAGTACCAGGGCTAACGTTTATGAGAACTTAAAAGAACAATGTACAAGATCAGTGAAATAAAGAGTTGGTTCTTTGAAAAGATAAAGATTGATAAGCCCTTAAACCAAACTACCAAAGACAGAGAGAGAGAGAGAGAAAGAGAGAGAGAGAGAAGAACCAAATCAATACAATCAGAGATGAAAAAAAAACCACTAGTGAAATCTGGAGGATTGTTAAGGACTGCATTGAAAACCTATATTCTAATAAACTAGGGACTATAGAAGAAATGGATACATTTCTAAACACACATGACCTACAAAAACTCAATCAAGAGAATATAAAAAGCCTAAAAAGGGGCCAGGGATTTAGCTCAGTGGTTTCGCCACCTGCTGCACAAGCGCAAGGACCCAAGTTCAATCCCTGGTACCAAAAAAAAAAAAAGCCTAAAAAGATCAATAACAAGCAATAATATTGAAGTAACAGTGGAAGTCTAACAAAGAGAAGCTCCAGACTACATAGGTTCACTGCTGAATTTTGTCAGACCTTTAAAGGATTAATACCAATGCTCTTCAAACTCCAATGGTATCTCAGTCCATGAGCTTAATTCATTCCATGATTCTGGAAAAGATGGCCATGTTCATGTTCATGTGAAAAAGATGGCTATGGTCATGTTCTTTACTCAATGCAGAGTTCACAAACAAAAACAAAATTTTGCCAACCAAATTGTTTTGTTTTGCAAACCAAATTGTTCATAAACAAAAGTGTTCATAAACCAAGGTACCACTGTATTCCATGAAATAGAAAGAGAAGGAACATTTCCAAACTCATTCTATGAGGCCAAAATCACCGTTATACCACAATTAGACAAGGACACAACAAAAAAGAAAACTATATATATATATATATATTTATATAGAAAGATATAAATATAGATGAATATAGATATAAAAATATTTAATAAAATTTAAACTGAAGGCAACAACAAATTTAAAAAATCGTATGCCTCAGGCTGGGGATTTAGCTCAGTGGTTCCACTGCCTGCCTCATAAGTGCAAAGTCCCGAGTTCAATCCCTGGTACCAAAAAAAAAAAAATCATATGCCATGGTCAAGCTGTTTTCATTCCAGAGAAGCAAGGATGTTTCAACACACATAAATCAATACACATTACATACCACATAAGTACAGTCAAGGATACAAATCACATGATCATTTCAACTGACACATAAAGCCTTCAACAAAATTCAACATTGTTTCATGATAGAAGCTGCAAAGAAACTAGTTATTGAAGGAGGTTGGGATAAAAGGAACCCTTCCCCTTCTACACTGTCAGGAGGAATATAAATTGGTACAGCCTCCATGGAAATTATGGAAGTTCCTCAAAAAGCTAAAAAAAAAAAAAAAGCTAAAAATAGAGCCATACTGCTCAATATATACTCAAAGGAATATGTTTAATATATACTCAAAGGAATTAGCATACAGTAGGGATATATACATGCCCATGTTTATTGCAGCATAATTTATAACAGCAAAGATAATGGAACCAGCCTAGGTATCTATCAACAGATGAATGAAGAAATACACACACATATATGTATTATTCAGCTATAAACAATAATGAAATTTTGTCATCTGCAGGAAAATGGATGGATCTGGTGACCATCATGTTGAGTAAAATAAGCTAGACTCAGACAAAGATTGCATGTTCTCCCATTACGTAGAAGGTAAAAAAGATACGAAAATAAAAAGGACACTATTATTAGATAATAAGAAAATAAGAGGTTTGAGAGAGGTGTATAAGGGAGGATAATGGGGATGGATAGGATCCAAATATATTGTACACACCAAAACCTAATTTTTGAAAAATTAATAGGCACTAATAATAAAGGACAAATAATATTAGCATAAGTCGCCCAAATACAAAAAAGCAGATCAAGAAATTATAGACTTAAAAACCTTACCTTAGCAAAATCTTTGAAAATTAATAGACTATATACATGTATGTCTGTACTTTTTTTTTTAGTGTCATTAGTCTATATACCTATGACAATCCTACATAATTATCCTGTCTTTAAAAATAAAATAAATAGGAGAGTGTTCTTTTGCCATATTCAAAACAAAACTTTTACTTCGGATTGAAACATTCAATTCTTGAACATATCCAAGAAATTATCTGTTTTATATAGTCAGCACTGTTTAAATGTAACCCACATATTTACCTGTTCTTTTGTTCTTCCTTCTTGCATCTAAGACATCCTACCTTGGATCCTCCATCTGAGAAAACTTACTTTACTCCTAAAACACTTTCTTAAAGTACTTCCCTAAAAATTTCTTTGTGCTATTGGTATGTCAGTTAGGGTTCCACTGGAGAAAAAGAACCAGTAAGAAATTTTACATAGACAGACAGACACACAGACACACACACACACACACACACAGAAGATTTATGAGAAGAAACTGGGTTGTATAACTGTGTGGGCTGCCTAAGTAAGTCTGAAGATGACAAGAGAAGCAATCAATAAAGAAGAATCATGGACAAAATTGAACCCAAGGGCAAGGGCTGAAGGCCATTGTCCGCAGATTGAATTTCTCTCTCCAAAACAACTGAGTCCTGTTTTTAAAGCCTTGGTAGTAATTCCGACAAGCCCACCAATGAAATTATCAACACTAATCAGATTCTCAACAACATGTGGACACATCAATAAAGCCAACACAAGGGGCTCAGTTATTGTTAGGAAATGTCTTTATATCACTTATGTAATAAAATGTGTTTTAGTTGGTATACTATTCTCAGTGCTTTTTCTCAACATACTGAAGATATGGAGAATTTTCTGTATTCTATTGTTGCTGATGTGAAGTCAGTTTGGTCAATATGTTGTTCCTTTGAAGGTAATTTTTTTACAATGCATCAATAAAGTACTATGCACCATGCTAAATGTATATATACTAATTCACATAAAACTTTACCACAACCCTGTTGTGTAAATGGTATTTCTGTTTTAAAGAAAATGAAACATGTATTCATAAACAGCTATTAAGGGATAAAGATTAACCCAACTCTACATGACTCCTAAAAAACAAATTCCAAAAATGCAACTCAAAACCAAATGTAAAAAAAAGTACTATGCAAAAAAAAAATTTTATTATACCACATTAGCTTCATCCAATGCTAAGAATCTAGCTAAAGAATCTCAACAACAAAAAAAGTAACAACTTTGATATTCTACACACTCATTCAATCCTTGAGCAGTATATAATTTGATCTTCACAAGTCATCTTTCATAATAGAAAGTAATATCTCCTCTTGATAGATTAAAATACAAAAAGAGCACTAATTTTTAACTTAACAAGAATGCACTGGATGTCTGGCTTGTAATTGCACTGTGTTTACTTCAGCATCTATAAAGCACTATCATTTGATCCTCCTTACAGCCTTGGGAAATAATTCAGTACAGGCTTGGGGACATCTAGGGAGATGTCTCCAAGGGAGACAACTCCATCTTTGGAGCTGAACCTTGAAATGCATGCTCCTGGAAGCTTGTATATAGGATAACTGTATGCCTTTCGTTAAGGTAAAAGTATATGTTATATCACTAGAGTATCTTCTTATTCGATACTATTTTTTAAAACTTCCTCAGAATACAGATAGTAAGATTAATTTGCTACAATGATGATTTCTTCACTAATTTGAGGGTTAAATTATATGGTGTTTCCCCCCTCTAAAAGTCTAAAGACTTTTAGCTTCTCAGCTTTTAGCTTTGTCAGCTTCTCAAAGGCATTATATGTTTATCCTGGACTCAAGCAATGTTTATGACATGTTCTAGGTCTTCGTTACATGCTGGATTCACATGTAGAATATGAAAAACAAGTATTAAGAACTTAATTTAAACAATATAAATAGAGATAAACACATCTCAATTTAGGAGACTTGCTATGATTCCACAATGGGTTGAAAGAACCAGTTCACCTAAAATTTCTAAATTCTGATGTCAAGCTTTTGCTTTTGTGAAGTGGCAATTGTTATTTTCTGAACCAGAACCAAGACATACAATATAAATATGAATTTTCTCTTAATTTTGGATTTGTAGCTAGGAAAACTGGTACAAAGTTTAAAAAATTAAATATTCATATTTTATTCAATACTTCATAAACTAGATTATACTGAAACTGTTCTAGTTGTTTACCTTATCAACCTACCACACCAAATTAATTCCTTCTAAGATAGCCTAAACTACTTATGTTTCTTGTATCTATCAATGTATACCTTTCCTCAGCGTAACCTTGAGCTTAGGAACTTCAAATGAGGAATTTTTTAACTGTGAAGTTATTACACTGTATTTCCGAAGCGCTATTCCATAGCTAGTTATAGGGTTACAGATGGAAAGAAAATTTCCTAAAATTCAGGGAAAGATTCTACTCAGGTTTTAGACAGTTTCAGAGTTACAAAAATGTGCAACAATGGGAATATTCTGTTACTGATCAAAAACATGTAGGTCCACTCTTACCTGCTTAAAAAGTTGAAGGTTAACTGCTGATTGCAAGAACTGCTTCATCACACTTGAGCGGTGCTTTACAAAACTTTCCTCACAAAAAGTGATGGGTTCACCCTAGACAGAAATAAGGATTTTTCTGGCATTAATAAACATTCAGTCAGAGCGAACCAGTCTCTCTCTACAGAGGCACACAGAGAGTCGTAGAAGAGTATAAGACATAGATTCAATGAACAGATCCTTATATATAACAGATGGATTTCAGATTAATAGAAATATCCCTGTTCTAAAAATTCTTTCTAATCTTTTGTCCATATTAGAAAATATTTTTATTATACCTGTTGCTGAATAGTTTTGCCATATCTATTAGCAATGATCATGAATTTGTTTTTAAATTAATGAAAAGTTTTTTTACAATCAGGTCTTCATGACTACAAATACAATTCTACTGCATATATTCTAGCATAAATCTCACTTTTATCTACCCTATGTGCTAAGTAATCATCTCTCTATAAGTGTCTTTGGTAGTTCTACAGGAAGTTCCTCCCCCCAAAATCAACAAAGACTTAAATTTCTAGTCTTACAGATTCCACTTGCTCCACTTATTGCTGTATGACCACAGAAAATCATCACTCACTGGCTGATCCTTTCCCACAGCTGTTCCCCTCATCAGCTTGAATGGTGCCCTTATTAAGGTGAATGACCACACTATATGATCAAAATGAAAACAGAGAATAATGACAATAATTCACTAATTTGCAATGAATCTTGATGCAGTAGAAAGGGAAATGTAAGCCTGTTCACCTTCTAACAGACAGGAGTAAATGACACCATACCGATTTTTACAAGAAAAGAATGAGCATGAAAAACAGTAGCCAAAGACAAAGCTCTTCTCTCTTTTGTGGAAGGTGAAGTACTAAACTTTACTGCAAATAAAGGTTATCTTATGCAGATAGAGTCCCCCGGGAATCTCTAAGATCTGTCCCCAGAAGAACAGGTGAAAACTGTCTGAGGAGCATGTCCAAGATGGCTGAATAGAAGTGCTTGGCATTTACCTCCACCACAGGGAAGAACAGGGAGACAAACTGAGGACTACATTACAAGGAAAGTGACTGAGAGAGAATTCTGAAACTGCCAAGGGAGTGACAGGAACCCTAAATAGCATGGGGCACAGAGAGAGGAAGAAAGCACACTCAAGTGTGACCCATGTTCCTCAGCAAGGAGGAACTCCCACATTGCCAGAAAAAGCAAAGTGGGAGAGTACTAATGATCACCGTGATTCCCATGGGCCAGAGGGTCTAAGTGCATGACAATACCACAGTCCTCAGAAGCTTTACATCCAGCTGAGAGGGTGCCCATCAGCATTAATATTCAACTCTGCAGTGCCAGAAGTCAATATTCACCACAAAATTTAACTGCTTTGAACCAGAGGAGAAAGTCTCAATGGGCCCCCATGAACCCCAGAATTCAAGCTGCTACCTCACAGTACCACCTTCAAAACAGAATAACTTCTAGACCTCATTCTGCTGTAAGTGCTGATAGGCATCCCCAGCATGTTCTCTGATGATATTAGAAGCCCCTGGGGACAACATGTGCCTCACAGGTCAAAGGAAAGGCCTTTCAATATCCCACCACTCTGAGACTGCAGCTGCTACTGCCACAAGCTCCAGAATCACCCATATTCACCAATCAGGACCTGGAGATAGCTCTCTCTGTGCTCTGTAGTTCTGAGACTTTTGCAACTGATACCATAAGCCCTAACATCCATTTTACTCACTTCACTGCACCTACAGTCAAGTACCCTCTGCATCCCAAGTCTCCAGAACTACAGCTAGTGCTGGCAAAAACCCTAACATCTTCAACATTCAACCATTCAGGGCCTGAAGATATGACCACTTGGAAGGCCATGTTCACTACAAAATCGTATCATTTCTTCTGAAAAACGTTGAAGTGTAAGACTAAAGCATTTTTAGACACTGAATATAGCTCACATTGATTATAGTTAAAGAAGTCACATAGGAGCTATACTCACTTAGAACCAAAGCCCAAACACCCAACCACCCACCCAACATCCTGCATATCATCTGAATGAAAAAGTCCTTTCCTACAAAAGCTACTCTATAAAATCATAAAGGTGTATGCAGGAATCTAAGCAGGAACACAAGAAATGTGAAGTGTAAGTGTGATGGTTAATCTTGACTGTCAACTTCACTGTTGAGAGATGCCCAGGAGAGTACTAAAGCATGCTTCTGAGAATAACCGAGTGGATCATGGGGCAAGACTGTGGTTACTATATCTGGTCCCTGTCTCCTTATTGGTCTCTTCCCCTGATCTCTGCCTCCTGGATGCCATTAGCTGAGAAGCTTTTGCCTGGAATGAACATCTGCCATGATGTTTCTGCCTCAGAGGAAACCAATCATGAGCCAAAAACCTTTGAAACTGAGAGCCAAAATATACCTCTTCTGTCAGGTATGGCTGTCAATATTTCCCCTAGAAATGGAAACAGACTAAAACAGCAATGAAGCACAACACATCCAAACCAGCACATTAATACCCATAAATAGATACTAATATAAATGAAATCTATAAAATGCTTTTTAAAATTCCAAAAAGTGATCCTAAGGAAACTCAGTGAGATGCAAGAGAACAGAGACAGATAATTCAATGAAATTAAGATAATAATTCATGATATAAATGAGAAATTCAACAAAGAGAGAGAAATAATAAAAAGAGCCAAACATGTACCATGTAGCCAAAACCTTCAATTAAATAATACATACAACTGGAAGCTTCAACAACAGAATAGCCAAAGCAAAAGAAAGAAAATACGAACTTAAGAACACATATTTTGAAAAAACCTGGTCAAACAAAAAGAAAATATAATTTAAAAAATGAAGTCATTGAGATGTATGGGACATCATTAGACAAACATTTGTCTTATGAGGAACTAAGATGGAATCAAAAAAGTATAAGATATTGAAAACATATTTAATGAAATAATAGTTGAAAATCTCCCAAATCTTATCAGAGACCTGGATAACCAGAATGAGGAGGCTGAAATAACCTGAAGTAGACTCAATCATAAGAGTTGGCCAAGGCATATTACACTCAAATTGTACAAAAATCAAAGCTAAAGATAGAATTCTAAAAATAGCAAGAGAAAAGCAACAAGTCACACAGCAGAGAGTCCTCATGAGAGTAACTTCATATTTCTCAAAAGAAACCTTACAGGCCAGAAGAGAATAGAATGATATATTTGACGTCTTGAAAGAAAGGGAAAAAACCCTGCCAACAAAGAAAATTATATCCAGCAAATATATTATTCAGAAATGAGGGAGAAACAAAGTCTTTCCTCCATGAGCAACAATTGAAGGAATTCATCACCACCAGACTAAAGTTACCAGAAATATTTTAGGGATTTGTATAGCTAGATATGAAACAACAGTACCCCATCATTAAAACATGAAAGAAGAAAATTCACTGCTAAAGCAAATATACAAATAAAGAAAAGAATCAAATCTTGTCACAATAGAAAACTGTCAAACCATAAAAATAAATAATAAGAGAAACAGAAAAGAACAGAGTATATAAGAGTAAAAAATAATGAAATAATGTGCATGAGCTTTTACCTATCAATTATAATCTTGAATGTAAATGGATTAAATCCTCCAATCAAAAGATACATACCTACCTAATGAATTAAAAAAATAAAATACTACTATATACTGCCTACAAGAAACTCACTCCACTGGCAAAGACAAGCATAGGATGAAAGTGAAGTGTTTAAAGAAAGATATTCCACACAAGTGGAAAGTGTCAAGTATGCTTATATCAGACAAAACAAGACACTGAATCAAACACTAAAAAAGAGACAAAGAAAGTAACTATATGTTGATAAAGCAATCAATTCAGCAAGAAGATACGATTGTAAACATATATGGATCCAGGGCTGGGAATTTAGCTCAGTGGTTCTGCCGCCTGCCTCACAAGTGCAAGGTCCTGAGTTCAATCCCCAGTACCAAAAAAACAAAATCAAAAAAACAACAAAAAAACCCCAAACATATATGGATCCAAAGTTGGACCATCCATCCAAAAAGCAAATACAGTATGTTCTTGACTTACAAGTGTGTTCCATTCCAGGAGAACTATTCATATGCTAACATATGTAAGCTAACAATGTGAGTCTTACACAGTACACTTGTAAAATTTCACAATTGGAATGTTCATAAGTCAGGAACTTATTGTATTAGATCTTAAAAGATAAATGGACCTTAATACAATAATAGTTGAGGTCTTGAACACCTTATTTTCATCCATGAACAGATTATCCAGACAAAAATTCAACAAAAGCACATCAGAGTTGAAGCATATTATAGATCAAATGGACCTAGCAGACATTTAAAGTATATTTTATCCAATAGCTGCAGAACATGCACTTATCAGAAAATGGAACATTCTCCAGAACAGACCATATGTTAAGTCACAAATCCACACATGAAAGGAAACAGTCAGCAGAGTAAAAAAACCAATCAAGGACAAAATATTTGCAAGCTAGTCAATCAACAAGGTATTGCTATCCAGAACATAAATTCAAACAACTCAGCAAAAAAAAATCCTATTAAAATATGAATAAATGTGGTCATTTGTATTTCTCAAAGAAGACAGAAAATAACCATCAAGTTTATGAAAAATTGCTCAATATCACTAAACATTAGGGAATGGGAAATTAAAACCACAATGAGATATTATCTAACCCCAGATGGAATGATACTACCAAAACATTAAAAAAAAGTCAGTTAGAATATAGAATAAGGGGAAATCTTACACACTGTGGGTAGGAATGTAAATTAATAGAGTATGAAGGAAAATAATATGCAAGTTTCTTTAAAATTAAACTAGAACTATTATATCCAGTGCCCTACTACTGGGTATCTATCTATAATTATATCAAATAGATACCTGCATTCTCGTATTTATTACAGTTCTATTTTCAAGAGCCAAGATATGAAGTCAATCTGTGTCTATCAACAGATGAATGGATAAAGAAAATATCATATGCATGTAATACATAAACACACACAAGGGAATATAATTTAGCCTTAACAAAAGAATAAAATCTTGTTATTTACATAAAAGTAGATGGAACATGAGGATATCATAGTAGGTGAAATAAGCCAAGAACAGACAGAAAAATATAGTATGTTCTTTCTCTTATATGGAAACTAAAAAATTCAGAAGAAGGGAAAGGAACAGTGGTGACTAAAGGTTGGTAAGGGCAAGGCATCAGGGTCGGGGGATGAGAGGTTCACTAAGGGTTACCAAAACACATTCAGATGGGGGAACTGGTTCTGGTGTTCTGCATGTAGCCTGGAAGGGTAATCATGCTCTATAACAATCTATATTTCAAAATAACTAGAAAAATAGTCTGAAGGTTCCCAACACATAGTAATGATTAATGTTTGAGATAAAAATGCTAACTCCACTGATTTTATCATTATACATTGTATATATACATCAAATTATCCTACCTTACCCCATATATATATATAAAACAATGTATATATCAGGAATAAAACATATATTTTAATATAAAATTTATTGAGACATCATGAGATTAATAGTTACCTTTGGCCTCTATAATTACAAGAGGTACTCAAAGTGGTAGCCATTCGTTTCTAGACATGTATTAGTAGTATACTGAAAAGTATAATATATAATTATATATAACATATATGTTATATATAATACATATATATATAGCCAAAAAATAAAAACTCCGGGAACAGTGACAAGTTTTAGTCTCTTATCTCTGGTCATTAGTCTCTCCTGGTTATTTGATGAGATTTCTAAATAATTACCTTTTTTGTGGGGTGGGGGAGAAAATCTCTCCCTGTACTTCTGGAGAAAAAGGAGCAGAGATCTGACTGAGATCTGACTGATGCGGGTGGAGGTCAGAGGGACCTCAGTTCTATGCCTTGTCTGGCACAGCATATCAAATCACCAGTCTGCAGTATCATTATCTGAGCCCCAATTCATTCATTTAGAAGATACAAACCTTTAAGAAACTTACATAAGATATCCTAAGAGAGGAAATACTGACTAACTGAAAAGAAATATTTTAAAGTAAATATAATTAATTCATAGAAAGGGTCACTATGACTTATAACTTCAAGAATCATAAAATTACTATGTCTATTAAAAGAGAAGAAAAAGAAAAGTTCTGTAGGAAAAAAGAACATAAAATATATTTCTGAAGAGACAAAACCATTAAAAAAGTATAACTTCTATAGTTGGCCCTTCTTTACTTACTTCTATCAAAAGTATATCAAAGTCATTTGTGTATTTTACAAGTGACCAAAACAGTTCTAAAATTTAAAAAATACCTTTAAAAAATTATGATACAGGATACTTTGCAAAGATAATAGCTTAGAGTACTTCAGGAGGCTGAGACAGGATGATCACTTTGAGTTCAAGGGCAGCCTGAACTACAAATTGAGACCCTGTCTCTAAAAATTATCTAAATCATCAGTGTACTTTAAAAAGTAAGTTTCGTTCAAAGGTTCAGTCAGAAGAAATGTAAAAGGATAGGAAACAAAAATATCATCTCCTAGCTCCCAAAAAGACCTAGCAGAAGAAAAGAAAAATATCAACTATAAAAAGGAAAAATGTAGATAAATTAACAAATAAATTTGTAACAAGACGTAATGAATAAAGAGAAAAGAGATTCTATAATGAGATTATGTTTTTTATAGGTACTGGAAATATGCCTTTTAAGATTTTATTTTTTAAAATTCATTCATGGAAATTGTATACCCCTCTCTGCTCAGTGAAGCTCAAAGGGGGAAAATATTAATCTATAAATCATTGTGATTAATGCTAAAGATGGGATATTTTAATCATTTCACTCACCACCTCACACATTTAAACTTTCTTTAAGTTTAAACAACTTAAGAAATTTTACTTTTCATTTCAAGCTGCTAGTCTCCTCAAATCTAGAGTCCTTCACAAATTTTAAGAGGAAAATGATAAAAATTAGTTTGGAAGTTGAATATTTAAATATGGCATCACTCAAGCAAAGTAATATTTTTAACCTCCTCTCCTGTACTGTAAACTTGAAATTAATTCAGATTACAAAAATCTGATTTAACAAAATAACTAATTTTGTTCTAAAAAACTATTTTTCTGCATTAATTTGGGTTGAGTAATTTGAATATTAATATCCACTAGTGTAATATGGATGACTGCTTGGTTTCCAGTCTTTCAAAGAATCAGGTCCTTATGCCTAACAAATTTTTAAGACCCTCCTCTCTGAAGTACATATCTTATGTAAGACTATGAGCTCTATCACGCTCTAAAATATACACCTATATGAAAATTTCTCCTTTCTTCTCTCTTTCACATCCCCACCGTGAGGTGAGAAGCGCTGCTGCTCTGTGTGCTCCTCACGATGGCTGCCTCACCACAGCCGGAAAGCAACGAAGCCAACAGAACATAATCTGAAACCTCCAAAACCATGAGCCAAAACCCACCTTTACATTTTATAAGTTGATTATCTCGGGAATTTTGTAACAGTAACAGAAAGCTGACAAGCACAGCACGTAAACTAAAGATATGTATTTATCTAGAGAGAGCAGCTGGTATAGTCTTTAGACTCCTTCCAATGACCCACTATTCCTTAAAGGTTTAAGAGACACTGGGTGGGAACCACTAATTCAGAAGTTAGTTTAGAAAAGCTATAACACATTCAAGCTTATTTAGTGCTTCCTAGTTTACAACCAAGTTGACACATGAACCCTGAAAGAGGACAAGAGCAAAAATTCTCATTTTACAAATAAGAAGTCTGAAGCCTGGAGACTAAGCAACAAAAATGCTAATGAATGGAAGGTCTTCTATTATTTATTACTAATTTAAGGTTTTATCTTAAAACTTACTCATCTGGTGATGGAACAGTTGTGTAATAATTTATGTAAAATCAACCTAACATACATACTTTAATCCATAACATGAGAGAGATAAATACATTCAAGTTACCCCTATTTAGACTATCTAAAAGCTTGGCTACAGTGCCAGGCTGGGGATTTAGCTCAGTGGTTCCGCCGCCTGCCTCGCAAGCACAAGGTCCAAAGTTCGATCCCCGGTGCCAAAAAAATAAATAAATAAAAAATAAAAGCTTAGCTACAGTTCCATACAATAATCATTTGTAGGGTATTAAAATAAATGACAGAATGAGTTAAGATATGCTAAATTGATAAGCATATCTTTAGAAACTGTTAAGTAGGAAGACAACAAATTTTCAAATACTGCAAAATTTTTTTATTTTTAAAAATCTTCACTTTGTACTTGTCACATTTAAACTCATTAAATAAGTTCAATCATCTGGTGAATTTCTTAATGATTGTAATAAATTCAGGTAAGTCCTCTAATATACTCGAATACAATTCATTAGTTAAGGTGTAAATTATTTCATTTTTAGAACTTTAATAAGGTGATATGAAAAAAGCAAAGTAAGTATTAACTAAAGGTCACCAAAAATACTAAAAACAAAAAGTCATGCAATTGGAGATGGAATGCATGCTTTAAAGCATATTACATTGGAATTTAAGACAGTTACGATATTTTTTAAGGTATGATATTAAAATGGTGTTTCTTTTGGCCTCATTCCAAAGAACCATAAAAAGCAAGCTAAAATAGTGATGAAATAAAATGCTTACAGGTTTATATCTCAGTGCATCTCTGTAGGATCCAAACAAAGCAGCTTGTGCCCTAAGAAAGGCCCTAGCTACTCCATCACCCGTAGCTGTAGACTGCTTCTTCAGTTTATTTTTCAAGGCCGAGACCTGCATGACAGAGAGGAACAGTTAAATTAACACCTCAGAAATTGGTACAGCGAGGTACGAACCCAATCAGCAGGCAAACCACAGAGTCTGCAGGTCAGCCAAAAATTCATCCTCCTCCCTGATAGCTTATCTTTTTAACTGCAGAGAGCACCTGCTGGTCTGTTAATTGAAATGAAAGCAGGAGAGGATAGTAACGTGCTAATGCAAATTGGTTATGCTCTCTTTTTTTCCCAAGGCCTCCTGACATAAATAAGCTTTAATTATTTTACAGTAAACTGCTTGTGAGCCACTTTTCTGCAGATTTTTAGAAAATTACAACATGTGTCTACTTGTTCTGAAGTGAAGCTGGTTGGCTGTCACTCACTTCTGCTATGTAAGGTTATTTGTTATGGGTCCTCTGGGATTACTTACTATTTTATTTTACTTTTGGAAGCCTCATCTGCATGTGTAATTTTCCAGTCAATACTTTTGTCATTATTAAAAAAAAAGAGGGGAAGAGACAAAGTTATTGAGGCCATACCATGAGTGGGGAATTATGTTATGCAAATGTTACACACTGTCTCAATTTCACAACAGTCTTCTAAGAAAACCACTCATAATTCCATTAATGAGTAAAGAAATAGAGACACAAAGACATGCATTAAAATCAGACACACAAGCTTAAATACCTGCATGATTTCTCTTATACGAACAACTCAATAGATGAATAAAGTGTGAAATAGATAACAGGAAAAAAGAGAAAGAAAAAAGTTACTAAAAAATCAGCATGGACAGTGTATCTAAAAGTGTACCTTTAGTATAACTGTCATACGTGTTTTATATGTTTTTTAGCCTTTTAGTCTGATTGTTAAATCTGTATATATGATGATTAACTTTATAAGGACTTATAAAGAAATGAGTCTGACGCTAGCAAAATAAAAGAGGGTGGAGGAAAGGGGAAAAAACAGAATTGAGATGTGTTATGTACGTGTACCAATTCCCTACAATGAACATAATCATTATGTACTGCAAACATGTACTAATAAAAATTTAAAAATTAAAAAACAAAGACATGCATTAATCTCCCCTCTCTATGGAGCTAATAAGAGGCAAATCTAGATATAAACTCAGTCATACGGTTCCTCCCACTACCATACGCTGGGTTTGAGTTCGGTGTCACTGCCTCATAAGTCAGTTACAGGAATACAGTACTAATGTCTTTAAATCAAAGAAAAACTTACTTAAGCATTTGAAAAATTTTAAAAAGCCCTTAAATTTATCATAATTTTATATAGAATCCATCCTTTCAAGTGCTATGTACATAGAAAATTGTATTTATAAACTTTCCTTAGATTAACTTTTAAATGACCTCATATTCCTGATATAAACTTATTTTTCTCAAGGGGAAAAATGTGCTCCTCTGTATGAAATTCACTTCACTAATTCCTTTTGCACAAATATAAAACTGTACTTTGTATATGTAAAAATGCTAATTGTTATGTACATCCCTCACAGATACTTCAAATAGAAACAAGAAGTTGTGTAATAATTCATTTTCTTAAGAAAATAAAACAACTTAATTAGACAAACCCTAGTTGGATTGTTCCCTTAACAGACCATGTTCTTGTCCATATGAAACTACCAAATAATAAAACAGTGTCATTTGGCCTTTACATATATATATGCAAAAAAGGAATATTTTTATTTCCTTATACAAGCAGTTCTGATTATTCTTGTAGATGATGATTGTAATGGAAGTGTCAACCTAATTAACAACTCAACTTTGAGTAATGCTAATGAGAAATGCACACAGCATCAGAGGAAAGACCAGCTCTCCAGGTGATAAACCTGCACAGTAGTGACATTTCCAATGCAAAGTCACAGTTGCTGTGATCTGATCAAAGAAACAGAACCCTGGGTCCAATCACAGCCATAGTTTTGAAAAATTATTAACTTACGATGTTCATAACCTATGCAGAAAGGCCTTTGCAGTATAGGTCTTCTCCCCATAGCTGTGATCTTTTCAATTTATATCCAAGCTCCATAGATTCAGATAAAAGTTTAAAGCCTAATTCATTTAGCCCATAAAGTACATAAACCAGCATTCATTTAAAAGTTTTTATTATTAAAATACAACCTCAATAAATGGACATTTTAAGGTAATCCACATCATCAAACCATAATACAGAAGGATAAAAAAAATAAATCTTTAACTTAATGCCTTTTATTCTTGTTTGAAATAGTTATTTTTTTCTAAGTCCCCTAAAAGAAAAAGCAATCGGAATGAGTATCTATCTCTCTATCTATAATTATTAACTCCCCAATAAAAAGAATG